CATTAGTTCAGTTCCGTTGCTCAGTTGTGTCCGACCCCACGAACTACAGCACGCCAGGCCTCCCTGTCCATCACCAAATCCCAGAGTTTACCCAGACTCATGTCCATTGAGTCGGTGATGCCATCCAACAATCTCTTCCTTGGTCGTCCCCTTCTCCTCCTACCCTCAATCCATTCCCATCAAAGGCCCTGAAATCACATCATGCCTTCCACCGGTTTCTTCCACTGCAACAAGTCAATCCTGCCAGCCCTCAGGGAAGTTTATGGTGCCTTCATAATGTCACAGACCTTTCACCAATCCGTAGGGGCCTGCTGCTATTTACTTGTTTCCTTGGAGGTGCCCTTGAGTCTCCATAACATGGGTGTTTTCTCATCCAGCACCATGTTCTTTCCTTGTCTCTTAAGGCTTGCCCTGCACTACTTCGCACACTTTGGGTCAGACAATAGGAGCCAAAATATTTAGTCAGATAACAATATAAGTAGGAGAGAGAGGGGTCCTGGCAGAATAAACAACTCAGCAATTGAACAGAGATGGCCCAGCAGATCACATGCAGGCCCAGCCAGGTGGTGGTCAGGACAGGAGCATGCCTGACGCATCCTGGCATACAGTTTCTTCTGAAATCTGAGAGTGGAGTTTAACAGCACTGAGATCTGGAAACAGTGGGCACTTCCTCCTGAAACCCAGGTGACCACAGCTGAAGCTGAGAAGGGCAATCAGCCCACTGCTATTTCTGAAGGCGCCCAGTGTGGTTACTCAGTGAACTGTAATTAAGCTCAATTTATAATTTGATAAGTGGGAGCAGCCTCACATTTTATAGAGTAATTAAGTCTCATTGAGAGAACAGCACAAGGAGTTTCTGGACTCCAGCATCCCCAGATGTCAGTCCGCATTCACACCCTCTCTCCTCTCATGCATGTCATCGGTGCTGAGTCCGGGACGGTCCCCAGTCACAGCCCTGGGAATACCTCCTGGCCCTGGTCTCTCCACCTCAGGCCCTCTCTCAGAGTCCAGACCAGGGGCAGATCCAGACGCAATGGATACACTTGCAGTGACACATGGGAAAGGTTTGGCCTCCCTCCCCTCACTGCTATCTTCAAAACTGGGCTGGGAGAGAGTTGAGTTTAATGCTCTCCACCCATTGCTCCTTCACAGGTTATATGACCAGCTTTTGAGTGAGTGGTCCAGCCCAGCTCCAGGTCCTTGATAGAGAAGCTGAAGCAGCCTGGGCATAAAGGAAGGGGTCCTAGAGATGGATGCCAGGCCAGAATTTCTGTCTTGGCTCTCCCACTTCCTGATTTTGTGATTTTATGCAAAACATTCCACCTCCCTGAGGCTCAGTTTCCTTATCTGTAAAGTGGGAACAATAACCTTGCCATTTATGAGGATCAGAGGAGAGATAAGCTGTGAGGGGGCATGTGTGTGTAAGAAATTGTCAGCATCTCAACAGATGTATTAAAACCTGCCTCAGATTTCTTGCTGCTTGGGGGGGACTTAGGTGACCATTCAGCTTGCTGTGTGTCATCAAGAATGGGAGACGGAATAACCACAGCTGGAACCTTCTGCTCAGACAACGAGGAGTATGGAAACCTTATTAAGTGAGGGACCTTGGCTCTTGAACCTGACTTGGCCATTTCCAACCCAGTGTTTTGTGCAGTTCTGGGTCATGGCCAAGTGTCAAAGAAGGACTTATGTCACAGATGGTAGATTTCAGCTCAGTCTTCAGGTAAATTTTCCCTAACCAATGAAACGCTGTCTTAGGAAGTGAGATATTTGTCACTGAAGGGCTTCAAAGCCTGGCCAGCTGCCTGGAGACTGGGAGTCATGCTGGATGATGATTGAGTCTCTTTTCCTTCTCTGAGGTTCCAGGGTCCTGGCAGCCTTCCCATTCCTAAGCCCAGGCTGTGGACCCAGCCCAGTAGGTGTTCACCCTAGACTTCTGAAACCACCTTGCTTAGTGCCTGCACACAAGATGGGCCTAGATGCTCTGGGTTTGCTTGGTCTACACCAGAGCACTGGAGCCCCACAGCCCTCCCTGACGCAGATCCGCATCTGAGGGTTCTCAAGCCTTGTGCTCACACAACCTCAGGCTCTCTGAGGGCAGCTCCTGAATGTGTTTCTGTTCAAGGTTAGGTGTTGGTGTTCTTGGAGCACATCCTCAGAAACGCCCAGGATGGGGCACACTGTGAGCTAGGCCAGGCAGATTCCCTCAAAGGGTCACTGAGGGCTCCTCCAGCACAACCTTTCCAGGGAGCAGTGCCCGGAGCCTGGGAGCGGGAAGATGGTGGCGGGGAGGAGGAGATGGCTCATGGGGCAGCACTTGTGGTTGTACTGTGCATATGCCTACAGATCTTTCTCACTGTTATGTAATTGAGGTATTTTTTCCCCTCCTTATTTTAGATCTGGGTGCCATCTGCCCTGCTTTCCATGCATCACTAACTCCGGGCTGGAGGTTAGATCTGACTTGGCCGCCTGGTGCTATCCCTCCCTTGGTGAGAGACTTGGGGTAGTCTGTTGCCTCATGTGTAAAATGAGATAATAACCCCACCCTGCCTACCTCCCAGCGCTGCTGCGAGAATCGGAGGAGGGGAGGGGCTGAACTGGCTGTGCACGGGGCTGGCACCACACAGATGGGCCTGCTTGTGCTCTGACAGCCCGGGCCTGGCTCTACCCAAGCCTCTGCTTGCTCGCATCCACACCTGCACCAGAAGAGCTCAGTTCAAGTTTGCAGAGCCAGGCCCCACTTGAAATACAGGAAGTGAGCAAAGTGATCAGGCCCCCTGCCCTGGGCAGCTGCCTCCAAGCAGCTCATGGCAGGCAGGGCCAGGCCGGTCTGTCACCTGCTTGCACAGCCCTTGGCCCTGGGTGGAATGTTAAGCACAGCCCGTGCTCCATAACAAGGCGCTGTCAGGAGCATCTTGCAGAGAGCCCTCACCCAGCCTCCAGCCATCAAGGGAGGGGCAGTTGAAGGCACAGGCAAAGCCCAGCCAGCACTCTGCTCCCCAGGGCCAGGCTTTGTCTGCAGCTTCGCCTCCTCTTGCCTCAGGCCCTCACTAAGGCTTGGGACCCAGAGCTACTACTGGCTCAAGGTTACACCATGGGATTGGGGTGCAGGACTCGTCCCCTCGCCCATACCTCACACCCCTTGAGGAAGATCCAATGAGACAAGAATGCCTGGTTCCTGGCCCAGGGCTCTGTGTGGGTCCCTGCACTGCTGACCAGTCCCTGCTGCTTGGGAGGTGGGACTGTACTCCGAGAGGACCAGGCCCAGAGCTTCGGGCCTGAACAGACAACTGGAGACACGTCCTCAGGCCTTACCGACTGAGCACCCCTTCCAAGAAGAGGGTGCCAGAGACAATGCTCCCATCCAAGGCAGCATTGGCAGACATCATTAGTCCTCAGCAGCCCTGGAGAGCGGGAGCAGGTGGCAGCCCCACACCCCCACCCGCACAAGAAGGGGAAGCTCTGCTGACAGGCAGTGGGGGTCTAGGTGCCAGGTGCCCCTGACCTGCCCACCTAGTTCCCAGGCCCCTGGGGTCACAGGGTGAGGTGATGATGAACAGCACTGCTCAGGAGACTTCTGTGCTAGCCCTGGATCTGCTCAGACCACTGTGATGCTGGGTGAGTCACTTCCCCTCTCTGGGTCTCTAATGTCATTTGTAAAAGGGGAACAGACCTCTATTCTGCCCACCTCAGTTGTCTCTTATAAAGGATCAAAACTAGACCTGCCCCCAAGGAGGCAGTCAGCCGCCAGAAGGTGAATGGTAATTGTGAGGTTTTAACTCAGTGCAGTTGCTCAGTCATGTCCGACTCTTTGCGACCCCACGGACTGCAGCACGCCAGGCTTCCCTGTCCATCACCAACTCCCAGAGTTTATTCAGACTCATGTCCATCGAGTTGGTGATGCCATCCAGCCATATCATGCTCTGTCGTCCCCTTCTCCTCCTGCCTTCAATCTTTCCTAGTATCAGGGTCTTTCCCAATGAGTCAGTTCTTTGCATCAGGTTTTAATTAGCTTTGAGATCTGGAGGAAAGTTTTTCTGGATTTTTCAATCACTGGGATAAAAATTAAAATTCAAGGTGGCCTGCAGGGCAGCCTAGCAGTTCTGACTTACCCCTGGGGGTCCCAGATGCAGACATGCTTCTCCAGTGACCGGTTTACTGCTGATCCTGACCCACAGAGTGTGACCATCACCCTTTCCCGCCAGTTCCCAGGCATCCATGCACACGAACAACTGCGGCATACATTTTTACTTGATAAAATTAAACATGGACACAAAATCTCCCAAGATATAAAAAGTGAGATTCTGAAAAGCAAGTTCTGTGACTCAAAAAGCTCTTCTTGTTGTGGAAAGACAATGGCCCTCAAGTGTCCCTCCCAGGGTTTCTGGAGGTGGTTTCAGCCTCCCTGCCCACCTGTCACCCACACAGGCCCTCTGGACCCCACTCTGCACACAGTGAGCCGGGCAGGGCATCCCTGATTGACGGCAGAGGGCATGACTCCCTAACAGGTAAGCTGAATTCAAAGGCTGTGAGACCCCCTCTTTGGCTTTGCCTGAGCCCTGTGGCAGGTTCCAGCTGCCCAGGTTCTGCCTTCTTCTGGAACCAGCCTCCATGTTTAATCCAGGAAATTATTAGAAGAGCAGGAATATTGTTTCTAAAGTGGCTCTGTGTCTTTGTGCCTGGAGTGCTTCCAAGGTGGGGAGCACCAGCCCTCTGGGACCTCAGGCTTGGGTGGAAGCTCCCAAATCAGGAGCTGAGGCCACTCCGGCTGTGAAGGAGGCAGGCCGCCCTCTAGCGGCAGGCCTGGCCCTTTCAGGGCAAGGCAGAAGGGCCGGTTGATTTGCAGGGCTGGAACTCAGGGCCCTGTCTCAAAGTATGCAGCTACCTAGAGAAGAGTGTTGCCTGGTTCTGGTCCAAACATGCAGGTTCTGGACAATTTCAAGGATACTGTGAGTTTAGCCTTCAAAGCCAAACCCAAAAAGTGATAACACAAACTCTACTTATCAGTGGCCTGGTTTAATTAAAAATAAGGCCAAAGCGGGAAGGTGAGCTGTCAATGAAGGCCACGCTGGAGTGCCAAAGAACAGGTGTGTGTGTGTGCAAGCACCACATGAGACAGACAGGGAACCTGGACCCACCCAGGGGAGAAGATGCCACAGTGCCCGTCCTATATATCACAGCTCCTGCCAAGGATGCCCCATCAACATGCATCCTGCCCTGGGCAGAACCAAGCGGATCCAAACTAGAAGCAAACTACCTCTTAGCCATTGAGCACCTCCACACATTTGTCCTAAAACAGGTTGGAGAAATCTCAAATGTAAATCTCTAGAATGTTGCCACCCCCTTCACTCAGCTCTGAATTGCCTGCTGCAGGCTGCATACAGCAACACCAAGGACACGCAGAGAGGAGCACGGTGGGCACGTGGTGTGCACGGCTCAGGCAAGGAGGGTACAGAGCTCATCACGGATCCTCCAGTGACTGGCCCCAGGGCCACCCCAGAACATAAAACGTGAAGAGCTGCCCCGGAACATAAAACATGAAACATTTCTACAGCAGTGGCAGGAACTTGGACCTTTATATTTTGTAGAAATCAATATAAGCAAAATTGACTTATAAGCAATAAAAGGGCAATTCACGTATCTTCTTTGGGCCAAAAATGCTTCATGTACAAAAGAAAAAAAAAACCCCTTCTTTTTACTTTTTGGGGTTGTTTAAGGCTCAAATGAGATATATTTTTTCAACTTGTTTTTGGCTTTAAAATATAAAGGATTTGTATTCTATTTTATAATAAATCTGTTGTTAGCATAAAGATATCTACCTAAAATCTTTGTATAAAATCAACTCCAGAAAGACAGAGGCACCATGTTTGCCCTGAGGTTTGGGGGCCCTGCCCACCATTCTGCACCCCAACTGAGAAGGCCTGAGCCATTCACTGGGTATGCAAATTGGGCTGGGCTACCTGCTCTAGTTAATGCTCAGACTGGTGGTGGGTTCTCCTGGGATGGGGCTAATCCACCAGTGAGACATGGAGGGGATGGCACAAGCCCCTCCCTCCCCTCCCTCCATCCTCTTCCCCCACACCCAGGGCTCCCCAGCAGAGGCCACTTGTCAGTGAATATAGATCCTGTCGGAGATGGCTCCGGGGAAGTGGGTCATGATCTGCATCCGCAGCCACCAGTAGTAGTCCATGGGGTGGTAGCGAGTGTAGGGAGTGGCGGCGGTCAGGGCGTGGGTCACAGCCTTGATGACGGGAGAGGTGTCTGTGGAGCCGCCGGTGCAGTAGCTCTCCATCCTGGCGACCTTCTCATCAAAGTACTTCCTGCCGTAGTCCTGGCGCACCACCTCGGGCAGCTCCTCCCACATCTTGTTGGCGATGGCCTGGATGCGCTCAGTGCCGCCATAGAGGCTGGTGGCGGCGATGAAGTTGCCGGGTTCCACCACGCTGACCTTCACTCCCAGCGGGTGCATCTCGTAGCGCAGGCAGTCAGAGAAAGCCTCCACCCCGAACTTGGTGATGCAGTATGGGGAGCGGGCCACGTTGGCCATGCGGCCCATCATGCTGCTGATGTTAACAACGCGGCCTGTAGAGGAAGACGGCAAACACCTGCTCACGGGGCCCTGCCTGCAGGGGACCTGGGGCCTGGCGTGTTTCCGGAGGCCTGGTTAGAACCCAGCCTCTTGGCCCGAGACCTCTTTTGCAGCCTGCATGGCTGGGGCTCAGCCTTCTGAACCACCCAGGGTCGGGGGGTTTCTCGTTTACAGTGGAGGCCAGCTCAGGTCCACACATCAGCATCAGCATCCCTGGTATTTCCTGGCTAGCCAGGTGGGTCCAGGCAGGATAGGGAAGGAGAAAAGAGAAGTAGGCTTGCAGAGCAGGAGGGCACAACATAAAGGACAACAGCTCCGTCTTGCCTGCCACGTTCTCTTATTGCCAGTAACTCCAAACTGTTATTACTGGCCTGGCTCTGTTGCCAAGCAGGCAGGGGCAGGGTTCCGAACATGCCTTCAGGTCTAAGACAATAACCTGAGCAGAGTCTCAGGCACTAGGGGAGAGTGGGGACCTAGAGAAGCTCTCCCACAGGCCCAGCCTGGGGACTCTAGGAGTTAGCACAGCCTCTCCCTGCCCTGGAGCAGTGGGTAGAGGAGGAGCCCATCCAGCCTTCCCCAGAAGGCCAGGCAGACCACAGACCCCCTTGCCCTGGGTGTGCCCCCAGTAAGTCAAGGCACGGCCCCACCAGGGCACTAGGGAGAGACACCTTCCAGAAACCTCCAACTTGGAAGTTGCTGAAAGGTTGGTGTTTTCTTCAAGATCCCCACAGTTGCTCTCTGGGTCCCTCCTGTCACTGCTGGGTCACTGGGACGTAGGGTATGGACCTTCCCTTTTTTGCCATATTGTTTGCTACTCTAGGGAGAAAATATGAGCCTGGGACTTCTTAGGTGGTTTGCTTACATTTGGCTACCTAACATGGTTTGGGCATTTTGTCTGTTTTGCCAATTTCTAATCTTGATTCTTATTATTTTCAACTACTACCACAATTGTCTCATTTTTAAACTATGGCATAGTAACCCATAGGATGGATATACAAACATTTACTTAAGCACACCTCTGTCAGTACATGATGTATACACAAAGCTCTGTGCACAAGGGTGGTTATTTGTCTAGATTAAGTTCTCAGACTAGGATTACTGCTATAATCTTTTAGCCTGTGGTGTAGAATGCTGACCTCTTACCTGCTCTACTGTCTGAAAACCACACACCCCTTTCCACCCCCTGCCCAGGGCACCCCCACTGGCCACCATCCACAGGCCCTGTGTCACCCCTGGGGTTTATGGGCTCAGCCAGTGATGGTGGTGGGTAGTGGGTCTGCTGAGACCTATTACCATTCTGAGCGAAGATAAAAAGGTAGAGCAGGTCCAGGGGGCAGGAAGAAGGTCCCCTTCCAAGTCCCCTTCCACCTTACCTTTTGCCCTCCGGATGAGGGGGAGAAAGGCTTTCGTCACCCGAACGGTGCCCCAGAGGTTCACTTCCGCCACCTCCTTGTAGGTCTCCATGCTGGTGAACTCCACGTCCCCAAACGTCGAGATGCCCGCATTGTTAACCAGGCCCCACAAGCCTGCACCGGAAGAGAGAACTGGGTCACCGCAGGGCCAGCCTCAGGTATCACCCAACAGCCTGCAGCCCATCCTCCTACCCACTTTCATTCCTTTTCCCCATAACTTGGCAGCTTCTTGTCCAAGGCTCTCAAGACATGTTCGAGAGACACCCAGGAATAACGAGAGATGGAGAGGTCTAAAGTGTCGGCTGTGACCTCCCTTCAGTCTACAGTTTCCAATTCTCATCTCGCTTCTGCCTGCAGCCACTCTCTGATCCATCACGATCCAGCCCTGCTGGCGCCCCCAGTCCGGAGCCCCCCTCACCTTACTCACTTTTACCCTCCAGTCTCATCCTGCACCCTGCACCTGTTTATTCATTCCTGCCTCTGAGTCTTTGCTTGTATTCTCCCTCTTGCCAGAAACCAGGGGAACCTCAGGAGTCTTCCAGGCCAAGTCCTCTCTGGAGAACCAGAGAGGGGACAGAGCAGCCAAGGTCACATAGCAAGTAAGAGACTCAGCCAAGCCTTGATGTCGGGTCAGGCCCCAATCCGACTCCACTCTGAGATGCTAACAACTCCTCCATCCTCTGATCTCCCCTCTGAACCACGCACTATGGGAAGGATGTCATGTGGTCAGCTATCAGTATGTCATCAGTCATCAATATGAACACTGAACACACCTGGTCTTTGCAGGTAGCAAAGACCCCTCAGCCTTGTGTGATCCCATGGGCCTTAGTAAGTGATCAGAGCAAACTCTCCGAGTGTACTTGGGTTGTGTTTCCTGCAAGACCAACTTGAAGGATCATCCGAGTCCACTTAGTCTGATAATTACTCTCATGGGTAGGGAGACATGAGAGGGAAGCCTGGCTTCAGCAGGATCAATGAGGCTGGGCAGAGCTGAACTGGGATGAGACAGTGAGGGTCAACAGACAGTGAGGGATGAGAAAGTAAGGGGTGAGACAGTGAGGGACGAGACAGTGAGGGATGAGATAGTGAGGGATCAGACAGTGAGGGATGAGAGAGTGAGGGATCAGACAGTGAGGGACGAGACAGTGAGGGATCAGACAGTGAGGGATGAGAGAGTGAGGGATCAGACAGTGAGGGACGAGAGAGTGAGGGATCAGACAGTGAGGGATGAGAGAGTGAGGGATCAGACAGTGAGGGACGAGACAGTGAGGGATCAGACAGTGAGGGATGAGAGAGTGAGGGATCAGACAGTGAGGGACGAGAGAGTGAGGGATCAGACAGTGAGGGACGAGAGAGTGAGGAATCAGACAGTGAGGGACGAGACAGTGAGGGATCAGACAGTGAGGGNGGGGGGGGGGGGGGGGGGCGAGACAGTGAGGGGCGAGACAGTGAGGGGTGAGACAGTGAGGGGTGAGACAGTGAGAGGCGAGACAGTGAGGGGCAGCCTTGTGCAGCAGGGCCCCCTCTGAGTTCTGTTTTTTCAGGCGCAAGGACTGGACACACTGGAGCCTCAGAACAGCTGGGCCCTACCTCTTCTTTGTGGAAACCCTAGGGTTCAGTCTCACGTGGTCATGAAAGTGCTCCTTCCCAAGATGTAGCCTCGGGCAGAGCTGCCTTCTGGAGGCTGTCCCCTCCTGTAGGAACTTTGGCCTGCTTCACCCCAGTTAATCACGGAAGTGAGTTTGTGTAAATGACAGAGTAATTGGTCTCTAACTGCTTTCCTTCCGTGTTACCCAAATTAAAGCTTTGTCAACTGACCTCTTGTGCTTTCTCCTTCAATTATGGAGAATTAAGAGCATTTATTAGAGAAAGGAAATTGCCGGTTAACAAAGTGCTCATGACGCTCTCACCTCCACTCCCCATGGCGACCAAGCCAAAGCCACCCCCTCAGCTCTCATGAGTGACCTCACAGTGACACAGCCACTCCCCTCCACCCCCGACCCCCTGCAGACCTTCCCCTGGGAGTCACTGCCCCCTCCTCTTCCCAGGAGAAGCAGGAGACCTCCCACCAATTGTCAAGGCCGACACTCACTTCACCCTCCACTGAATTCCACATCATGAGCCATCCACCCTTCTTTTTATGCAACTTTCACTCTTCTCCTGTCCATGCCTCCCTCCCTTCAACAGTGTACACATTAGATGCTCAATAAATGTTTGTCAAGTGAATGAATGAATGTAAATATCAACACCATGTTTCATATCCCAAAGAACTTTCTCTTAAGTCACGCTGCCCCCTCATACAACTGTCTGCTCTCCTTCCCTCCATGGCCAGGCTTCTGAGAACATGAGCTACACTCTCCAGTTTCCCATTTTCCTGCCAGTCTGGGTCCCAGCCCCACACTGCTCCAGGGTGTCCAGGGCATCCCCTTGCTAGGGATATCTCTCCCACCCTCATTCCCTGCCATCTTCTCTGGCCTCAACCTGCCCCCGGTGTGAGCACTACTGATACCACACACCTCCCTACACCTCCTTCATCTCCCCTGACCCCCGTCTTCCACTCGTCCTCCAAGATCCTGTCCTAGAGCAACTGTCCTGCAGTGACACGCAATGCTTAGGCAGCCTCATCTTCTTTATGCTCATGAAAGTTGCCAGTTGCTTTATGTTTGATTCATATGGACCATATATATGACATAAAATACATACCGCCCTTTTATCCACCTAAAAATTAATTACATCTGACTCCGATAGAAAAAAGGTTAACTGTACTTGACCTGTGGATGCACAATGCTCCTAGGATTACAGCTCTGATGATGTGATAAGTAACAAGTGTGTGCACCCAGGAGATCCCTGGAGTCCTCAGTCAACATTCTGAATAGACTCACAACCTTCCCGCTGGTCTGGGTGACAGCTGCTTTCCTGTAACCGCCCAATCGCCACCTCTGAGTAACTGTTCCCAGGCACCCCTCGAGACTCAAGGCTCTCCCAGCCCCACCTCCTCCTCCTGATGGTCATTTTCATCTGAAGGTCCCACAGGTCCCCAACTCACCCTAACTAACCACCAAGTGCTCAAGCCTGCTTTGCTAATAGTTTCCCTTTGCTAATAGTTTCCCTGTCATCTTCGGCTCCTCTAGCCCCTTCATTTCTCCCCCATACAATGAGTCATGAGTACTTATTATTTTTTTTACAGCTCAGTGTTACAGCTCTATTTTATTTAGATAATAGCAGGAAAATCTATCTTCGAGGCATGAGGGCACGTCAATCCAAAGACACGAAGAGAAGAGCACCCATGAGTACTTTAATATTACCCAGAAGGATCAAAAGGTTGGCTGCTGGGCCCTGAACTAAGCACTTTGTAACCATTCATTCATCTGATCCTTACAATCAATCAATAGATACTGAATTGTCCCATGTCCAGATGAAGCAACTGAGGCTGAGAGAGGTTAAGCAGCTTGTTCAACATCACCCAGCTAACCAGTGGGTAGGACGGCGTAGGACCTGGGTCTGCGTGAGGACATAGCTCTAGCCCTTAATCCCGTGCTGCTGTTGGCTTCGTCTGCCTTCTTTCTGGTGTTCACAGCATTAGTTTGGGTCCCTGTTGTTGGAGAGGCTCTCCCAGGTCTCCCTGTCAGTCGCTCTCCTCCTCCATCCTGATCCGACCCGCTCCACCAGGCTCTCCTCAGTCAGCCACTTCCTGCTCCTCTGCTTCCCTCTGGAGTGGGGTGTGCGAGCGTCCTTTCCCACACTTGTCACCCACTCCCCGCCAAGGACTCTGCCTTCGAGCCTGGACAGTCTGCCACTCCTCTGACATCACGGCCCCTCCTGCCTCCACTGTGTCCTAACTGCTCAGCTGCCCTGACCCTCAGCCTGAAAGCAGCTTCTGTTGATTTGCTCCTGCTGTGGTTGGATCGAGGTGTGAGCCTCACAGATGGGCACCCTGGGGCCCACATGGCTGAAGGTACAAGCCCAAGCTCACACCACTAGTAAGAGGCTAAGCCCAGAGCAACTGCAGCCTTCTCACTCCTAGACTGAGTACGCCCCAGATGTAGGGACCTCCCTGTCCATGGCATAATGTCCCCAGTGTTATAACCGATCCTCATAGGTCTAGTCATGAAGCCACTGACTTCCATTTTGCCCAACTACAAACTTCCTCTGCCAGCTCATTACCCTTTCAGGTGCTCAGCACACTGACAAACATACAGTAGGCACTCAGTAAATGTTTACTGAATGCAAGGTAAGCGGTGGTTTCAAGATCAAGCCATGCCCACAGCCTGCGGATTGGTCCACTTGCTCGGCCTTTCCCTGTGGTGGTGGTGGAGGAGGGGCTGGTCACAGGCTCTGGATGGCCAGTCCTTCAGGTCTCTGCGAGGGATGCAAAGGGGCTGGTGGCAGAAGGCTCACCAGCTCTAACCTGACAGTCCCCTTCATCTTACCACCACCGCTGGCTCTCCTGGCTTTGGCAGCAACTATTCCACAGAGCCAGGGTGAAGGGCATCAAACTCGCCATCAAAATGTGCCTTCCATGCTGGGGGAATTTGGGGAATGGACTGTCTCCTGGAAGGTTCCTGCAGAGGTGGATGAGTGTGCTAAGTCACTTCAGTCATGTCTGACTCCTTGCGACCCATGGACTATAGCCCACCAGGCTCCTCTGTCCATGGGATTCTCTAGGCGAGAATACTGGAGTGGGTTGCCATTTCCTTTTCCAGGGAATCTTCCCAAACCAGGGATCGAACCAGTGTCTTTTATGTCTCCTGCATTGGCAGGCGGGTTCTTTACCACTAGCACCACCTGGGAAGTCGAGGTGGATGGGTGAAATGAGTCAAAAGTGGCCACAGGCTTAGGGAAGGCATCTAGTCTGCAAGATCGGGGAGGGCGCCACCTGGTGGTCAAATACAGTAGTGCCTGAGAAGGGCGGGGGGTGGGGTGGATTTGCACCGTTTAACCCAGAAAAACGGGGCTCCCCTGGTGGCTCTGTGGTAAAGAATCTGCCTGTCAATGCAGAAGATGGGGATTTAAGCCCTGGGTCAGAAAGATCCCCTGGAGAAAGAAATGGCAACCCACTCCAGCATTCTTGCTTGGGAAATCCCATGGACAGAGGAACCTGGTGGGCTAGAGTTTGGGGGTGTAGCCCAGGGGGGTTGCAAAGGAGTCTGACACAACTCAGTGACTAAATAATAAAGAACAACAGCCCTGTAAAAGACGTCCATGAGGGGTTGGGGGGGGGGGTGGACACGCAGAAGGAAGGGAAAAGGGGAGAGACCTGGGCAGCCACATATATGACAGATTTATTTTCTTTTTCAGATCTAAAAAAATCTTCAAATCTTTTTTTTTTTTTTTTCCCAAAAAATGCAGTACTGGTTAATTAAGGTGATGGTGAGTTGTTGAACAACCCTGCAGGAATGTGTCATGTGGCAAAAAGGAACAGGGAAAGGTTTCTTCACCAGGGTTGGTGCTGGGATTTGAGCCCAATCCAAGGGCAGGGGGGGAGCCCGGGGTCCTCCCCGACTTGCCCGGTTAGGCTAACTGGGCAGACTAGTATTGGGATAGAGTTGATTCCGCCGTGGTGGCTGAGCACAAGGACCAGGGTCCTAAGCAGCCCCCAACCCCAGTGCAGCCCTGTTCTGGGCTCAGTTCTATCCTGACCCTTCCTTTCCATGACCATTTTATCACCACAAACCCACAGGCTGTGACGAAGTCGGTTTATGGTGCTGACTGCAGCTGTTTTCCAGCCTAATCGTTTATGAAGGCGGCCCAGGGAAGGCGGGCAGGAGGAGGATTTTACCACCAGGGAGGGGGTGAGGCAGGCTGTACCTTCCAAGCTGGTAATCATCCCAGTGGGACCCATCCTGCCTTTGCTTAATGGGGCAGGAGTCCTGGCTCTGCCTGTTCATTACTAAACAGATGTTCAGTGAGTTCAGGAACTCATGGGCCTCTCCTCGGAGAGCAGAGGAGCCTGGGAATGGCCTGCTGTGGGGGTGGGGGTGGCCCCGGGTTGACAAGGTGATGTATCAGTGACAGCTTCTCTGATAGCCGCACAGCATGGGAGCCCCTGGGGTCACTGCTGGGGGGATGACAGCATCTCCACTTCACTGATAAATGCTCAGCAGAGTGGCCAACACTGGCCTGGGTCACCCATCCACTTGCCTGCTCCCTACCACTGACTGAAGTAATGGCTCAGGAGAGCTGCCCCACCCCATTCTGCAGGATGGCAGAGAGCTGAATAAGGCACTTCCTTTTCTCCTGGGCTGACAGGAAGCTCGAAGGAAAATGTCCTGGAAGAAGCGACGCAACCAGAATGCAGCACCATCCTGCTGTGTGCCCCTCCTCTCTGCTATATGGCAGAGCCTCTCCCACCAAGGTCCTCCGTGGGCTGGGCTGGGAGGGCACTTGAGTTGTTACATTACGGAATTTTCTGCAGCATGTGACCCTGTTGGCGATGGGCCCCCAACTTTCTGTTCCCTTAGCTTCTGGGGCACTGTACCAAACCTCTCTGACAGTTGTCTTTCTCTTCTCTGGCCCCAAATTGCTTCTGTTCCCCAGGAGTCCCTCCTCGCATCTCCTCCACTCCTAGTCTCACTTCCAACCATGCACACCCGATTTCCAGCCCACAGACTTCCAGGGAAGGGGGTGTGTGCACAGACATTTCAGCATCTCCCATCCCTCGGCTGCTCCTCCAGGGCGGGGCAGCAGGTGTCCAGGATACAGACCTCTTGCCTCTCCCTCACCCCCACACACAGTCCGGCCAGCTCTGTCTCCGCAATACTCCTCGAATCTGGTGCCTCCTTTTTCCCAACACCCAGTGCCCTAGAGTTCAGGAGGCTCACACTCAAACGCTTTCCCTTTGAGTTCCCCTCCACGCTGCCACCAGCGTCCCCAGACTACCAGTCTGAGCAGGTCATTCCTCACAGCAAAGCCCCTTCAGTGGCTCCCCTCGCCCTCAAGAGAGCAGTCACGCTCCTTCACGTGGGCCCCAAGCCCTGCACGACCTCCTCTCCTGACCTCATGTGCTGCCAACACAACCGCCAGCCTGACCCTGACTGGCTGCCCCTCAGCACAGCCCGTGTGCTCCCCACCACTGTTCACGCTCCCCCTCCCGCTTGGAATGCCCACCCTGCGCTCTGCCAATCTGCCCTGGCTGACCCTCCCCCAGCCCACCCCAAGACCAGGTTATGTCCCTCTGTCCCGTGTTGCACTCCGACAGGGGATATGGCGATTATCTGGGTCAACTCCCCAGTGAACTGTGAAGTCCCTGGGGTCAGGGGCTGTGTCTTGGCCATCTTTGCGTCCCCAGCATCAGCCCAGCACCCAGAGCTTGCACTCCGTGAGGATTGGCTGGGTTGGTCTGTATGGCCTCAGTGCAGTGTGAAATTTAACCTATTTCCTCCACGTGCAGCAGGAAGAAGAGCCCAAACAAGAGGGAAAGCTGTCTTTTGGCAGGATGTTAGCATATGGAAGGGGGTGTTTGGGGAGGGTCCCCTCAGAACGGCCAGCCCAGGTGCCACCCCCACTGCCCCAAGGCACTCTTACCTTTCTCAGGGTCCTCCAGACTCGAGCGGATGACCTCCGCCGCTTTGTCCACCTCTTCGCTTTTGCAGACGTTGAGCTGGACAGTTCTTAAGCGATCACTCTTCATGCCGTCCAGCTCTTTGACCCCATCACTCCCTTTGTCCTGGGGAGAAGAGAGGAGCTGCTGCACCCACCTCCTTCCCACCCAGCCTGCGGGATGAGGACCAGGGCCAAGGCAGGGAACTGCCCCCAGTCCCAGCCAAAGCCTGGGGCTTGTGCACGGCTTACTAACAGCCGCAGGCGGTGGTCTTTGGGGACCCACCCGGACCTGCTCCACCAATAAGTGGTTCTAGTCAACCCCTGAGCATGATGGCACATCAAATACCAAACTAAGCACCTCAGACACAAGCCCCAAAGCCCCCTGGCAGGATGCTGTCTCCTAGTAGAGGTCACAAACCCAGTACAGACCGGGCCAAGCATGTGGGGATCAGACAGTGGGGAGGGTGGGGCTCAGGGACAGAGCACACGCCCTCTCACCCTGCCAGCTGTTGTCCATGTGGGTATGCAATCCCAGGGCAGCCAGACACTTAGATTTTTAAGCTAGTAACTAGGATCTTCTGATGTTTCAAGTGTTAGAAAAATTATCCTTAAAAAAAAAAAAAAAACCCACTGCATGCCAAAGCATACCCACAGCTGCATGTGACCAGCAGGCCGCCAGTCGGTCACCTCTGTTCTAAGCCAAGAGCCAGTCACAGCAGCTTGACCAGAGCCAGACTGTAACTGCAGCTGGGTCACAAACCAGGCTCTGTGCACTCAGGTGCATCCCTGAGGACCCAGTTTTTCCAGACACCGCTATTTCCAAGGGCATCGCCACCTGCACGGACCTGCTCAGGTTAATGGCATGAGGAAATCGCTTAAAAAAAAAACCTTGCTAAACGACAAAGCACTATGCAAATTCAAGTATTATAAAACAAGAGAAAAGTGTCACTCACTCAGCACTCATGTCCTGGGCCTCTATCATGTTCAAGCACTGTGCTAATAACACAGACGTGAAAATAAATAACAGCCTCTGTTCTCAGAGAGTCACGTTTTAAGGAAGGAGGTAGATATGGGAGCAGACAAGACTGGGCAACTCTGCTGCAGGAAAGCCTGTGGGAGGCAGGAGAATGCACAGAAAGTGGGGCGGGCAGGGAAGGTCCTCCAAGAGCAGTGCCAGCTGAGGACATGCACCAGAGGGGGACCCGGGGACCAGGCACTTCCGAAGAGGATAACTCTGGTCCTACCACAAGCCATTGAAGGCACAGCAGAGAGAGAGGAACGTGGGACGTGAGGCTGGAGAGTCAGGCAAGGGCCCGCTTGGGGGCAGTGGTGAGCAGATGCAGGATCTGAATAAAGCAGATATCACTTATTGTTTACTGTGCTTCACACTGTGCTGTTTGAAATGCATTATCTCATTAGTCCTCCCATCCAGAGCAGGGTGTATTACCATACCGCCTATATTCTACGACACACACTTTTCACCATAGGGATGAGCTACAATCAGTGTGAAATGAGACACTGTCAGTCATAATTTGACTTCTCAGCGGTCCATGGAACAGTGATGCATCTGAGGAGAGGACAGGAGTAGCTGTCCGAAGACGAAGGGACGGAGAAAGGCCTCACTGTTCCATGGACCATTCAGAGAAATCACTCGGCCGAAGGCTGGCCTGGGCTACATCTGGTGCTGGAACAAACACCCCTAGCCAGGCCAGAGCAGGGAGCATGAGGATGGCTGTGGTGGAAAGTCCTCTGCAAGATGGGCTGAGTGTCATCAGTGGTTTGAACCAGAAGGCCCCTAGCCCCAGGCCTGAAGAACCCACATCATGCAATGTCAGAGGGAGCTAGGGGAGAATGGGGGAGGCTCTCTATCACATTGGACCACCGGTACTGGAGAAGACTGGAGAGGATAATCTCTCTGGAGACGACTTGGGAGAATAGGATGGTGAGGGGGCCTACTTGTCCTGTGCAGCCCGGAAAACAGAATTAGGGCAGGGAAGTCAAATTCAGCTCAAAACAAGGAGTGACTCTCACCGTCTGGAGATGGCATGGGCTACCCTGGAGGTGTTCAGACAATGAGGGTGGATGTGGGGTCTGTCTGGATGGGATGGAGAACATGGTACAGAGAAAACTCAGGCATCAAGCAAGACATCAGGCTGACCCCCCTCTAATATCTCTTCCACCCCTAAACTGTCAACTTCTCCAGGGAGCCTCCCCAGAGGCCCTGGAAGACTCAAGAGGCACGGCTCCCTGAGCCTCTGCCCTGCCTGGCACCAGGAACACCAGATACATCAGTCACCTCTGCACAGAGCAGCCAGGGTGAGGCTTGGTTTGCCCAAGACTTGGCCCTGAGGATCCCTGGATGTGCCAGTCTTCCTAATCGACATGGTGCTCCAGCTCCAGGGGAGCAGACAGGCCTGAGCACCTACTGCCGTCCCCCTGGGGTACACCAGAGAAGAACTGCCCGGACGCCATCTTCAAGTCCAGAGGCTGGAGGGGCTGTCCACAGACACCTCTCTTTCCCACGGACGGGCCTCAGGAAAACACCTGTCTTGTTTTAATTCAGTCCTTGCAGCGGGGTTCCTCAAAAGCCCCTCAGGATAGAGTCTGCATGGCCCAAGTCTCCGAGGGCCACTGATGTCTGCTCCAATAGAACGATTCCAGCTGAGATGACCAGATGCTGAGTGTCCTTCCTCCTCTGACCTCTGTTAATCCCGCCGCCATCATGCAACAAACAACTCCCAAACCCCACACCGGACCTCTCCTGTGCCTCTCGCCAGCATCAAGCCAATGCCCCTGCAGTCCCTGGGGGTAACCCCACCCCACTCTGGGTTAGGGTGCCCCCCAATCTAGGTTAGGGTGCCCACAGGAACATAGTTTGGCTGCTTGACAGCTAAGAACCTTCTCACAGAGAAAACCACAGCTTCCATCTCAGCATTCAGGCACCCAGGAGAGAAGCCTCACCCTCCCACCTTCTCCTGAAGCACCCCCCACCCGCCATGTCCTCGTTGGCCTCTGAGCAGCCTCCACGTCCTGCTTCCCTGACTGTCGGTTGGCCTCCAGCTGTTCAAAGGAGCCTTTTCCCAACCCCCTCAGCCCACAGCCCGCAGCCCTTGGCAGTCTGTCCTTCTGGATCCTTCTGGCCCAGGGCCGAGGCTGCACTGTCCGGGTCATTCCACCTCCTTGCTCCAGGATTTCTGTGTGTGTCCACGTCTGTCTTGCTGCTTAGGGACAAGCATTTGGTCTGTGTAACCAGTTTCTTGATAAACCCATTTCTTTCGTTATCCCTTTAAACTTCATCTGTAAGCTATTTTTCCACCCCAGATGAAAATTCAGACAGACTTGTAATTTTTTACCAGACTTGTCTGGTAACTTTTGCATTCATTCCCAGATTAACTTTTTTGTTTTGGCAGAGTCCAGTTCAGTCTACTGATCTACTAACTCCAGTACAGCCTGGCTGGAATGCCCAAACCCTCAAACTTATATCCAGCTTAGAGCCTGCCTTGACCCAGGCCTGGCAGGGTAGGGGTGTGGGAGTGGGGTGCCAACTAGCAGGGCTGGAAGCTGGGTGTCTCACTGTTTTCGAGCTCGTACTTGACTCCTGTTCCTTAATCTCTGACCCTTTCAGACTTGGATGCAGGGACTGGCCAATGAAAGGGCGAGACCTTAGTCTTCTGGGGGATGGGGGTGCCATCATCGTCTGCTCCTGGTGCCCTGGGACAGCAGACGCACCAGAGCTGGCCCTCCTTTTTTGGGACACTTTTGTGATTTCCACAGAGATCCCTCCACTGGACCACCCCCTCCTCTACAGAAGGGTCTCCTCCCTCAGCCCGGGCTTCAGTGGGACACCGCTTTGTCTGGGATCACACACAGCCTCTCAGGAGTCACACTGCATCTCATACCCTTAAGGTGTCTCCAGGCAGCTCTCCCACTGTCCACATCCAGGCAGCAGTGTCCTGGTTGGGTGGAAGGACAACCCTCTCTCATTAGGGCTATGCTTGCTCTGCTTCTAGATGAGCCACTCTGGCCTCATCTGGGGGCTTTTAGACTTGTTTTGCTAAACATTAACACACCATTTTGTGACTTCTAATCACCAAGGCACAAAAGGTAAGCTCTCCAAGTAAGCTCCCTGAAGCCCACCTCGTTTTACTTGAGACCAGAGGGAAAATATACCAACACTCTAACTACCCTCTCTAAACTTCCAACCTCTTTTATCTCAATTTATTACAACACTGAGGCAGGTAGGTCATGGGCTAATCCCAGCAGAAAGGTCTCGTGGTTTCTCAGCATTTTACTGTTAGGCAGCCTAGCACCTCAAGGCAGAAGGTGAGGACACTTGGCACATGTTATACGTGAGCACCTATCACATATATTAGAAACATGGAGACAAGAGGAACAAATCTGGGGCACTGTAATATTACAAAACGAACCCAACGAGAAGCCAGCAAAGGAGATGAAGAAAAACCTAGACAGTATGGTGTCCATGAAATCAAGAAGCAAAGCGTTATAAGCAAGAGTGGTTTGTTCAGTCAAAGCTGCTGATGGGTTGGGTATGATAATGGCCTGAGAAGTAACCAATGGATGTGGCAAGAGAGAGGCTGCTGGCATTCCCTGATAAAAGCCCTATCAGAGGCATTCCGAGCCCTTCCTTCACCATTAGAGGGAGTAGCACTGGTATAGCTTTCATGGGGAGCAATCTGGCAGATATGAATAAATTCTAAAATCTTTCCACCTAGCACTTTCAAGAAATTTTTTTTTAACAATTACTAATGAAAGCCTGCAAAGGCAGGTACAAGACTATTCGCCGTGGCTTTGTCTGTAATAACAAAAGTGAGAAATAAAGGGCACAAATGGATTGCAGTTACCATGGGGCTGCACAGTTGGACACGACTGAGCACGCATACCCAGGTGCACATGGGTGAGGCAAGACACTGAAATGAAGACTTTACTTTTTTATATCGAACACTTCTATATTGTTTGAATCTATTATGAATATGTACTACTTTCAAAATTCAAAAGAAATAAATGTTGAAAGGACAAACTCTTCTCTGACCTGGAAATATGTTCAAACCATGACAATGCAAATTATTAGCTGTGCTTGCTATGTTATTGAAATTTTTACATTGC